GTTAACTACCCGCTGCACCTCACTAGGGTTAGGAGTGAAGGCTGAAGCTTCAATATACACTGGGCTGCAGGAATGTGATCCGCCGCGTCACGTTTAGCTTTCTTATCCCATTGACTACTGCATAACATCGGAACCTCAGATACAATTCCTACTCTTCGCTCAGCATGCTATTCTTGAAAGGGTATGGAGTTGAGGGGAACGACGGAAACAGAATCATATGAAACCATAATTATTTACGACCCCGCATCGAGATCTACTGACGTCATATGGCAGTCGATGGGATAGATTGGAGTTTCAGCTGTAAAAGTAACGCGCAACCGTAACATTCGGAAAACGCATAGGTGTAGTTACCCTTTGCATAGTAGCTAGCTAGGCAACTAACCACCTGGCCCTGATCTGGCAGGACTGTTATTGTGAAGGGGCTAACCTTAACGCGTGTGGTTTTATTCACTTCCCCCTTTTTTTTTTCTTTCCTTTTTTCTTCTTTTTTTTTTTTTTATTTGTTCCCATTTCTCAATCTTCAAATCCTTCTGCCTCACCCTTTAGCCCGCAAACAACTCATACATAGTAGTATTCTCAATGCTTATGCAAAGTGCAGACCGTACAACCTACAAGCGCAAACATCGTCAAGTCCGGCAGTCGTGTAACGCTTGTAGTCTGCAGAAAATACGATGCGGTAAACAGCACCCGATATGCCACCGGTGCGCGAAGAAGGGGCTGTGCTGCCAGTACAGCATGTCTATGCGTACAGGTGAGCGTCAACGACTAGCCGAATTGTACGACATGCCGGGGAGTAGCACAGGAACGTTGTCATCATTCGCAGCTCCTCAGCTAGTGTCACTATCGCTCAGCACGACGGAGGATCCCTCCACCGAAAGCCCGACGAATCGCTCTCAAGCCTCGTTTGACGACGTCAGGAACTGGAGCTGGCTGATTGACACAGCATCTATGTATTTACTGGAGCCTAGCCTGGAGCTTGCAACAAGCGAAGATCCTTCGACTAATAGCATAGTGTTAAGTTCGCCTAGCAATCAGAACACGCCGTCCTCTCCGCAGTATTATCCGAGACAGCCTGATGGGAACTCCGATATCCCATGTGCGGGAGATACTCGACCCACCGAAGATGTAGGCAACAGTATCCAGGACGCCAGCCCACGGCCGCAAGTGAAGGGCGACGCCCTTAATCCCGATAGAACACGCCGTGTATATGACTGCGCCACTGAGGCTCTGAGCCTCTTAGAAAACCTCCACACGTCAGCGAGCGGCTGTCTAACGGTTGTACAACGCCCACCTCATCTCGTCGCTATCGAGGGAGACTGCAAATCCGGGCAGAAAGATATAGGCGATATACTGTCTGAAAACAGAGAGGCACTCGCCAGACTTAACAGCCTACTAGGCTGTCCATGCTCTAGAAGGCAAAACATACTTCTTTTGACGTACCTGGTGATTGCTAAAATCGCGGACTCGTACCGCCTGATCCTCGGGATCAGCGACAGCGCCGAGCCTGCAGCAAAGCATTCCACTATGGAACAGTCACCTAAGATAACTTTGACGACTGTCTCGTGTATCGGCAGCTACCCCTTGGACGATAACAGCCAGAAGATTCTCAGCGCGCACCTGGTCCTAAGGCAGGTTAGAGATCAAGTTCAGCCTCTACTGAAAAGGATACGTCCCGGCCACGGCCATGTTCCCGACTCACTACCACCTACATACAGTCAGTGGTACCCATCGCCTTTGAAGCCTCTCCAGTCGACGTTACCAGTTCATCACCACTCTCACGTTACGGGCATAATCAACCAAGTGTATGCCGACGCTAGTAGTATCAAAACTGGGTGCTGACACTGTTGCCCTATATCTAAGTAGGGTCATGACGCCTCCAGGTCCTGCGCCCTCGTCGCGGATGAAAAAGCCCGTCGTTCACGGTTGTTAGCAGTATTCTCCTCAACAGGAGGCAGGGAATCGGAGCGAAACTTGTAACCACCCGATATTATGTCACGAGAGCCCGCCTTTTCGCTCAAGCTTGCCCTTTTACGCAGCGTTAGCCACTTCAGTTTCGTTCATTAGCTACCTTAATGTTTAGTAATATGGAGCTCGTTCGTTCTCAATACTATAGCGATTGGGGTGGTGTGGTGGTAGGGTGGACAAGCCAGAAGGTCATATGCCCTCATACGCCAGTCACTTATTAGTAGAATTCATCGGCAATACGAAGTATAGTAGAAATAAACCTACCGTGCCGTTATATATAACGCTGGTCCATTGTAATAGGGTAGCTGGACGAGTCTAGGAGCTAATATCTTCTTTTCCTTCTCAATCTTCTTTTTCCTGAAGTGGCTTTCTGTCCTTTCACTTACTTCCTTTTATTCCTATCTTCTGCCCCCCCCCTCCCTTTTTCTTTTTCGTTTATTGCGAGGAATCCCTTACAATGGCCACAGGCACAGGTTCCAGTCGGGCTTGATCCCAGTATAGATGCTACGCAGTGGTGTTTCCTAGAACAGGCTTCCCTTATACTATTGACCTACTAATCAGATGCAACCCTGTAGACCTAAAATGATTGCTATCATCTGCTGGTTCTCACGTGCTCGACATCAAGGTCCTTAAGCGCCACGGTGAGCCCCTCTTATTCCTGCAGTTCTGCAGTATATATATCCTGTCCCAGCCGCTTACCTTGCGACCTAGGTAGACGGCTGCTCTACTGTCACTATTACATACGTAGCAATCGATTACAGTATGCCCAAGCAGGCAGCTCCTGACTTTAGACACCCATCTGAAAGCGTCTCAGACGCGCAGGAACACCAGGAACACCTGCCAGCCAGCCCTCAGACCGGCTCACCCAACGCAGTAACGATGCCCAAGGACGACGCTAATACAGGCGAGGCCTTACGGCTACTGCTCCCGCGGTATCGGCCGGAGGGGGCCAGCAGCGGGTTGTGCCCTCAAAGCGAGGCCTCGCCGCTCGCAACATCCCCGAACGCTTGGTGCGGCCCGCGACAGCCGCACCTGAACGCCAAGCAGCGGCGCGCAGCAAAGCGACGGGCTCGTTTCCACGTGCCACACGGGCGAACATCTCTAATAGAGGAAGAAGCTAGGGCCTGCGACGACCTGGCGCCGCCCCTTAGGGAAAGATTCTCAGACCCGGTTGAGATACATCGAAGTCTATCGGCTATCCCCGTCCATCCTCCCCCAACCCATCTCCTCAAACCCCGCCCGCACACCGCATACGACCCGTTGATCTGCGACTTCATATCCCTCCTGAAGAGTAAGAATGTCAGCTGTGCGCTCTGCGCCTTCTATAAGCGGGGACGGATAGCAGAGACGCATAAGCTGAAGAGGTGCTCACATCAGGCGGAATCATCGGAAGCCCAGGGCTGGTTAACAATGTTCCGGTCGTACCGTGCCCGCGGCGGCGGCAAGGGGGCGCGGTGCCACGCCTGTCGGTTCCCGCTAACGCTCTGTTGGCGGACGGTCTACCGGGAACAAATGGACGAGTGGTACGGCAATGAGCAAGAGGCGCTGGAGAGGGAGGATATACTATGTAAGGAGGTACAATGCGTATGGGTAAAGGCCGTGCAGCGGTTTGTTACAGCATGCATGATCGTAGAAGGCATTGGTGCTGGTACCGGCGTGAGCACCCTGGGTGCAATGGTCCTGGAGGTGATGGGCTGGTCGGACTGGTCGGGTCTGTTGTCGAACGGGCCCGAGCATATACGTGGATGGCTAGAGGAGATGGATGAAGTGGATGGGCTCTGGTGCCCGCGACTCCTACGGCTGTTCTGGCTCCTAGCCCACTGCTGAATAAGGTAGTATAGTCAACTACTGAAATCAAGTTGGAATTCTTGTTTCCTTCGGTCTTCCTCTTCCCTTTTTTCTCTTTTTTCCCTTTCTTCCTTTTCTTTTTCTTTTCTTTTCTTTTTCATCTGCCCTCTTCCTTCCTCCCTCAGCGATTCTTTCCCATACACGCGGGAGCCATGTGAGAATGCCCCCTATCAGTCAACAGCAACGTGGAAATTTAACTTGAGCCTGACTAATCGGGAAGTCACCTAGCAGCATCTCGGCAAGCAGGAGCGAAAGTGGAGAGAAAGGCACTATATAACTAACTACAACTGCCTGCCCTTACCTGCGTACTTGCCTGAAACACCTACTTAAACACCAGGCTAAATCCACACTCACACTCACACACTCCCACATCTGATGCCTTTGTATTAGCGTGGAGCTAGCTAATGAGCTGGAGCAAATCAGAAACCTACTATTGTGCATCTCCTACTACTGCCTTATAAGGCCTATTAATATCTTGCGAACAGTATTGAGTACCTACCTGCAAGGTACCTCAGGCAAGCACCTACTGACCTAAAACATCACCCTCTTAATTCTCATGCTAAAACTGTTGACTGCTTAGTTTACCCTCCCTGAAGCGGACCTGCCTCAAACACGAGATATTCAATGCTTACCTGTCAACAACGCAAGAGATCAGGAAACTACCTAGTACCAAGAAATACCTCCTCACCTCCCCATCGCCCAACCCTACAGGAGCGAGCGTTCCGACCAGGAGGAGCAGCAGGAACGAGCGCGACACGCTTCACATCAGCAATCTACCCCTCCTAACCAGCATGGACAGGCTCCCCGCGGAGATCGTCGACCTCATCTTCCGGAACATCGCTAGCCCTGGAACCGGCCTGCGTCACATCGCCCCGTTCCTCCGATGTGGTCGACGATGGTTCGAACACGCCGTCCCCTTCGTCTGGAAGAGAGTGTGCCTCCTGGCCATTACACAAGAGTGTATAGACAATAAGAGGAGGGCCCTGTAACCGTCACAAATCGAGACACTCACCGGCTGGGACGGACGGAAGTGCGGCTGCGGCCTTTGCCAGGCGAACGACCCACCAAACTCACAACCTCGCCAATACCTCCTTCCCCATGTGGACCTCACCTCGATCTACCGACTCCCATTCCCAAGGCTGAGGCAGATACAGCACATGAGGTTCAATGACCCAACGTTACCCGAAATGATCGAAAGACTCCACACAGCAGATGGCAACACCATCACGAGACTGGAAGTCAGCCAGTGGCATGTCGAGTCCGCCCTCCCGGACTTCGTATCATTGCTGACGAATCTCTCCCAACTCCGCGTCGACCATCTGGCATACCATCACGACGAAGTCTCAGTTGTGCAGCCAGCGTGGGACAAGCTGACGTCCGCCAGCATGTTCCGAAACCTGACGTACGGATGTGACGAGTCTGCGATAATCATACACGCCCTGTCCGACTGCCCAGAGCTGAGCAGGCTGCGCATTACTATAGAGCCGGCCATCTCGAGCCTTCTGAGTCCCCTACCCCCAAACCACGCGGATTGGTACAAGCGCCGAGGTCAACCCTTCAGATCTCTCACCAAGCTCGACATCAGACCAATGAGAGAGTGCACCTCCCTGTATCAAGAGCTCGCAACCATGTCAGCCCTGAACTCGCTCACCGTACGGTTCAGGCCAGCCAGCATCTCGCCCGCAATCCTCACGTACCTGTCGAGAATGACGCAGCTGCAGGAGCTCCGCCTGATTGGAACGTCTCGCGGTGGACGGATGGGGCTCTGGAGCCGTGGGACGTTCCCCCCCAACAACGCTTCGGATGCGATCAGAGAGGGATGAGCCAACTCAAGACGTTCCAACTCAGCCTCCCCGGCGTCTACTCCCTCACGCCCGGCCAGGGAAGCCGCCAGCACATGTTGGAGTCGATTGCACGCAACAACCAAGAGATAGAGGAGCTGGTTCTCGACGCGAGCCTGCGGCTGCCAGCAGCATCTTCTTCCTGGCGGCCCCCACCACCAAACTCGACACGCCACGACACCGGGAAATCAATGAAGATAACCCTCCACTCCATCAGCATTCCAAGGGAAGGAGAGCCTGGGCCGGTCGATGAGGGCGTAGCGGAGGTCGTCAAGCAGCTCCACACTATATTCCCAAAGCTGCGGTCCCTGTTCACCTCCGCGGACGAAATGGAACACTGTGCGAACCGTAACGGTCCGTTGCGAGGGTCGGGTGGGTTAATCAAGCCATCTTCGTCGCTTGCGGTCTAGGCGGTCTCCCGAATTGCGCATATGGACCTGCTGTTCTCAAAAGACCGACCGATCTCAGTCGAATCGAAACCGTCCCGCAATGGAACGCAGGCATCCACGTTGCATCAGATCCCTTGTCGGATCGTCCGCCCGGCCGCCCGCCCGCCCTGTGACGAGCGAGAGAACATACCCGCAATCGAGAGGGGAGTATTCGTGTCCGAAGAGGAGAAGGAGCGACCGCAGTTCGCGACGTAGGCACTAGGTAGGGAGGGCTTGGGGCACGTCTAGGGAAGTGGAGGATCAGGGCATCGCCTGCATATAGGGCAAGGGTATCATAGCGGCCCAACCGAACTTCATAACACCTAATAAGCCTTGGACCTGTACATCTCAATCCACGGCGATGTGCGCAAGATTTCATTCACTCATCGTGACAAGTAGTAGGTAAACGCCTGTGCTATCAAGTCGAACCGAAAGGCCTGTTTAAATTTGAAGGCCTTGACAGCTAAGCCAGCCAGCCTACGAATACAAGCGACCGATATAGGTACACCAGCCAGCAAAGGAGCTCTGAGGAAATCGGCTGCTCTACCTCATCTGACGCGCGGTATAGAGACAGCACCAAACAGCCAGAAGAAGGCCCCAGCCCCTGGGAGCGGAAGAGAGGAGAGGAGAGGAGAGGAGGGGGGCTATCAAAGCCAAAGCCGGCTATTAGAAGTGCTCATTCGACTTGGCCCATGACCGCACCCCTTACCATCTCAACGACTGCATACCAACTTTGCAATAGCTAACACCACTAGCCCAGGCCAGACAAGAAAATGGCTTGAGATCAGAATGGAGAGTTAAGGTAGCCTTATAAGAGCAGATGAGGGGCGATCACCCGGGGGCGTAGGCTCAAACCAGCAACCCTAAGCATAGCGCACACACACGCACACCCTTCTTCCAAGGGATGTCTTCCAAAGCCTCTCAGCAGCACCCGCCACGCCTTCTTTATAGAGGTTGGTTCTTTGATATGACACTGCCAGCTGTCTATTCTCAGAGCCGAAGGGGGCGGGAGGCTCGGCAAATCGCTATTCGGAGAAAGTCATGCGGTTTTTCGCCGCAGCTAACCAGACGCCAATTAAACAGCCTGGAAGAAGCATCCTTGCCGGACCGCGACATCGCAAGTCTCTCATTAGAGACACCTAGAGGCGTCTTGACCAAGGCATTGATCTAAGGTATCTAGCGTTTAACCTAACACCGCTGGGATCTGAACAATACCTTAGTAATGGACCTCAACTTTCAGCATAAGCGAGGCTTTCTACAGCATGACGTTGGACTAGGACGTGCGTATTACTCAATGCCCTATAGTAGGATGGAACCCTTTATTTTCCTTATACCTTTTTTGCTTTTTTCTCTCTTTCTTTTTCTCATCTTTTTGGGTTTTCTTTTCTTTTTCTTCTTCTTTTTTCTTTCTTTTTTTCTTTTGGTTTGTTCCCCCCCCCGATATCTTCCTCCTACTGTAATCATCCTTCTTTGGAGTTCTTTCTTGTAGCTGCTGATATAGTCCTTACGACACCGTCCGGTTAGGCAGGTACATGATACTCGATTTGCAGTTTTCCTGCGTTCTTCACAGACCGAGCCTGATTCTAAATGCTTGCTTAACAGATTAAACCCCCCAACCCCTATCATCATTGTGAAGGATCCTGGGCGAAGCAGCTCATAACTCTAAAGACCACTAGTAGTGATTTCTAAAAACCAGATACTCTAAACCTGGCTCTGTAGATATGGTCCGGCCTCCCTGGCTAGGACGTCAGTTACATATAACCATGAGATGTGCCTAGCCTAGACGTCCATGTCGCATTTCAAGGTAGCGTCGAGCCCCGCGGCCGCCCCTTGCCCATAGCTTAACAGCCATGGAGTATGTTATATGGTCCTCTCGTCCCTTGAAGAGCCTCAGAGCCTTAGATCCTCACTTGTGGAAATTCAACTAACGACGTAGAGATAGCTAACCTGAGCCGGGCGCGGGTTAGGCAGTTAGGGTCATCATGGTTAGGTCGTTCGGGTTATGGTATATGTCCCTATCGTCTTAAAGATTGTGGCTACCAACTAAGCGGTGTAGGGTCAAGTATACAACCCTATGATCACTATTTACACATGTTGCTGATTTCTCTCAGCTTAAGTCTAGGTAATCCTCGGCCCAGACGAGGAATCCCGCATTGGGTTGATGCTTATATAAGCATGCATTGCATGTAATCATCGCTCGAGTCCCATCTCGCTCATGCCCACCCTCACAGCACGCTGCAGTACCTAGATATGCACTCTTTTTTTTTTCACACTTTGGTTTGTGTGAGGTACCTGTTAACATAAGGTACAACTAGTTAGTGTAGGAAATCATAAGGCCTGTATCCAAGGTAGCTGCTGCCTGTAGGTACGCATTCTGTGTGCACGTTCTAATGAGGGCGCGCAACAGGGGCGAGTGAGACCAGCCTGCCGGCTGTTAGCCTGGGCAGCCTAGACGAGCTCGCCCGATCGTCAATAGAACACCAGGCTTCACACCAAGCAGACCAGTCCATATAACGGGGAAGCCGAATAATCATTCAGGATCTCCCGCCAGTAAGATTCAAGGAGTCTGCCGAACAAGCACGCAGGTCTTTTATAACCTAATCTAAAAGCAGGTATCATGCCTTTTCTGTACTCAGCCGGCCGGATACTGTAGTGGACGAACACCCTCCATGCCAGTCGCAGCTGAAACAATGCAGGAGAGTCACCAGGTGCTGCATGGCTCAGTGGTATAATGTATCTAGCCTCACAGAGAGCTAGCTCCCTCCGCCACCTGGTGGGTATACAAGAGCACCTGCAGCAGCACATGTGTGTTTTCCAGCTCGTAGGCGACGAATTAATCCATAAAGGGTGATATCTATAAAGCAAAGTAGTTAACCCCGGCGCCCCTCCTTGTTCGCCGCGGCTGCTGCGACCCTATCTCCAAGCCGCCCATATGCCAAATGTGTAAGCCATAGATAAAAAAGTATACAAGCCGGGAGCACGACAGCTCGCCTTCTGGAATCAAAAGCAGCCGCCCCACACAACCAACGCCATTCCCGCCGCCCCCTCCCGGAACCTCGCACTCCTCTCCTCGGCGGCCTCGGGCGGCTCCTTGTACCATGGTGCTAGGTCCTGCACCTTTATTAACCCCTCTAAGCTTCGGAACAGGCCGAGAACCCTCCGCCTCCTCCTGCGGTCCCTCAGAAACGCTTCTGTCACTGATCTATCGCTTTCAACGAGGAAAACCCCCGCAGCCCTTTCAACCATGTTCGTGCAGATGTCTTCGCCGTCGGGGCGGTGGCGCTTAGCCCCGACCCGCAAGACGAAGTCTCGCGACAGCTTCGCTTCGTAGTGCGTGTGTAGGGCCATCGTCTGTCGCGTGACAATGTGCCACGAGTGCGCGATGGCCTCTTGCATAAGCCTATCGTCCGCATGCCCTCTCGAGAACACGTCAAAAGACGAGGTGTAGTCGTTAAAGTAGGCCTGGTGCTCAGCGTCGCCCCAAATCCTGTTCGTGGCTTTGGCGTCCAGCCAAGCCGTCTGCCTTGCCTGGAGGAGCCCAATAAAGACCTCCTTGAGCAGGATGAGCATCGCCCGATTAAGCAGCCTGTCAGACAGAATGATTGCCTCCGCTACCGAGGACAGTGTCATGCGCGAGGCGATAGACATCAGGCCCTGCCCGCTTGGCTTCCCGTTAGCCCATGCGGCAAAATACCAGTGGTGGACGAAGGACAAGTAGGCATATACGCACTCAGGCCGGACGTCGTCGTCGTCGCTAAAGTCTACAGACCTGTCGAAGCCCTCCCTGTAGAATCCCATTATGCAGCCTTGAAAGTACGACGAACACTCGACGATGATGTCGCGGTGGACGAGGAACGTTGTAGAGTGGCACCGTATTATGATTAGCTGCGTTGTGTCCCTGTAGGAAATGTTAGCGAAACCGCCCAGCCTGCTGCTACACCTTAGCCTACTCCCATGCTGATGAGGAGGCGGCGTTCCCGATACGTAGTCTCTAACCTGCTCTTCTGGGCTGCCGCGCCCTTTGCGAAGTCGTATAGTAGCCGCACCATATCGCCTTAGGGGAACAGCACAACAGAATAGGTGTGCGTGCGTGTATGTGGTGTGTGTGTGTGAAGAGAGAGAGAGAGAGAGAGATGGCCTAGGTGACGGCCGGCGGTAAGGTACCTAAGGTATGTTGAGGTTGTATAGTGTAAGGTGCCTTAGCGGTCGCTTGATGTGGTGGTGTTTAGTGTTACTGAGGTGGACAGTGCAGTTGGGTGGGAATAAGCGGCTCTGACCACCTGCGGGCTGGTGGAAGGTGGGCTTTGGTGCATTAGAAGGAACCTAAGGGTCATGGGATTGCAGAAGATGAATGTGAAGTTGGGAGGGCGGGAAGGGTAATTGCGAGGAGGCGTCACCTTCCCGACGGGAGAGTTGCATCCACTGGCTCTAACCAACGCCGAGATAAAACCACAACTGCAAAGACGACGCCGGCGGGAAGGCCCATGGGATGACTTCCGTAACGAGAAGGAACGGCGGGGGACCTCCTGGAATCGGCAGCGCAGGCACTGCCCGGGCCGGCTAGTGTGCTTAGGTAGGTTTATGCAGATGGCAAGTGGTGAAAACCGCGGCTCGGTCGGGTGCGGGCCGGAAGGCGCAGGCAGCCCAGGTAGGTAGGTACGCGTGTAACCGGGTACCTCGGGGAAGGACCTCCTGGGGACGTAGCTTGTTAGCGTGTAAAGATGAACGAACACCTAGGAACACTCAAACCGCCGCTTAGAGGAGGGTATACTTACCACGGGGCAACACTATACATAGACAAAATAACGACACAACGTTGCAGTTGTCCTGGGGAGCGGGGTCGCTGCTGCCAACACTGACAGTGTAGTTATGTGTGGACCCTACCTTACCTTAGGTGATACTCTCCGTCTGTCTAGGGAAAGGTACGTTGAGGTAGTTAGGGGTGCAGAGGATAAGTGGCGGGGCAGAAACTAAATCGACGTTAGCTAGAGACTCGCGGGTAATCTTAGGCGGGCGCTAGAAGCAGCAAAATCAAGCCGGATGCTCTTAAGGCGTGTATAATAGGCAAGACCAGAGCTTGGACCAAGGGGGGATATAGTAAGAAATTAGGATCCCAGAGTACTTCTGCAACGGCGCGGTGGGTGACCCCTTCCCTCCCTCCTACCTTATCTTTGTTTAATACAACGTCCGTTTTTGAAGTGGAATTAGAGCGTGAGGTAGTGAGACTCCTGACAGAGAGCAGGTACGGAGCACGAATCACCTCACAGCACCTTATACTCGAGCCGTATAATATGTAATATTTGCGAACCGTTCAGGCAAAAGGCTGTCTGCTTGTCTATTTCAAATCGCTCTTTCTCCCTCGCTCACCACCACTGCAGCCTCAAGCCTCCTTCCTTCACAAATCCCATCCCACAAACCCCTACCTACCATGCCCATCGAAAACAACAAGTACCTCTCATACCTTAGACTTGAGTACCTACCTATCTATCCATGGCATACCCTCCAGCGTCGTACACCCCGAACTCATGCTACCTAACTTCCTTATAGCAACCCCTCTTCACTAAAAAAGCAGTACTAACACTAGCTACCTCATACAGTCATTACCATCATACGCATCTTATAATCCACGCGCATGTTTGACGCATGCATCCCGGGGCGCTACTGCTAACGCTACCGGGACCCCCCGGCCCCCCCGCCTGGCTAGAGCCCCGATTTGTCGCCATGGCTTCCTTCCCTGCTAACGCGGACCGGCCCTTCCCCTTAGGGAGACTACCCCGCGAGCTGATCGACTGCATCTTCAGCTACTACATGTCGATAGAAGAACCGTTTGAGTACCTGATCCCCTTCTCAACGGCCAGCTCGTTGTGGTTCGACCTGGTCCATCCCTCTATGTGGGCGAATGTCTGCCTGAACGCCATTACCTCTGAGGACATCAAGCCCGCGAAGCGACAGCAAGCCCACACGAAACAAGATTGATTGGGGAGATTGTCGACCCCGAGAACCACAGATGCCGTCGATGCACGGCATGGGCGCCACATAAGGTACCGTCCATTACGTCCACTTCCGAGCCGCCGAGGGGGCCCGGGCACCTGGGCGCTGGCATTGGTAGAATGGAAGGCTCCGGCGTTTGGTCCCGCAGATCGGGGCTCAGGGCTTTTACTACCACGAACGCGAAAAGATGGGGCTATGAGGGTGGAGTTCGCCCGACGCACCCATGGGGTGGGTGTCTTGTTGAACACCGAGGTTGAGGCCGACGCGGAGGCTGAGGCAGAGGCTGAGGCGGAAGCCGGACGGACGACGATCACATCGTTCCAAGTTCGCATGTCGTACTCATAATCTCTTACTTGTAATTACTAAGCCGGTTGCAGTCGACAGAGGCGTACTCGGACGCTTCCAAGGCCCTGAAGATGTAGAGAACAACTTGGGGCTGCTAAAAACACCTCATCCCGACCCCTGGGGTCAGCCATTCCGCTGTCTAGAAGAATTCAGCTGTATGGGCTTTTTTCTTCGTAGCCGGGATGAAGTCTAGGAGGAGCGCTGTGCGAGTACCATTCGGCAGGGAGGTTGGAAGCGTTCCAGAGTACCACAGATATAATAATACTTCGCACCGAGCGGACTCGCCATCACTAAACAAGGATGACCTGCAGTTGGAAATCCAGCCCGATAGGCTGGGAGCGAAAATTCCACCATTGTGGCTGATTCGCATTTCATTAGCTACCTAAAAACGCCTGATATCAAAACAACAACGCCTGATAATCACGTCTGATGATGACTGCAAACCCACCGCGTGCTCTAGAGTTATGAACCCCTAGGTCCCCTACCTTCCCCCTTCACACCCCCTTCTAAGCGCCGGGTAGGCACTCCCTCAGCATTCCATTGCCATCACATGTGTCTTCTGCCGAAAGGGAGACCCACCACCTGCTCAGCCGCCCATGCTGATCAACTCGTCATCATCCACATCCCAGACGCCGCGGTGGCGGAGGACGTTGCGTGCGAAGTAGGACGGGCCACCCCCAGGGAGAGTAGCAGCCATCGGCGCGTTAGCGGCGTACCCTGCGAAGATAGAGATGTATTCCTCGAGAGTCTTCTCGGCGCTGGTGCTGGGGTTGAGGATTTTTTCCAAGCCGAAGGCGAAGCTCAAGCCTGCGTCGCGCATAACAAAGTGCTTGAGCCTGACTACCGGGGTCGAGAACAGATCGATAGACATGACCTCCCCCTCTGGCCGCCGGACCTCAGCCTTTCCAAGTTGTAGTTGTCCAACGCCCCTCATGATCTCGTGGTAGTAATGGTCCCCACTCTCTCCGTTCGCGCTGAAGGTGGCAACATCGTCAACCAAGACACCGAACCACTTGCCCCTCGCAGCGCCACTATCCATGACGTGTACTGAGAGCCTAACATAGGCATGGTCAGGCGTGTTGTTGATACTGCCGTTGTAGAAGCTAACCAAGGCCACGACCCGAGCGCTCCCTCCAGGGGACGCCCCAGCCTCGGCCAGACCCTCCGCCTTTAGGTCCACTGCGGTCCGAAGCCTCTCTGACAGGCGCTCGTTTGATGTACTGAAGATGATAGAGGGTTGCTCGCTTGACTGCTCGTTGGCAGCGTTGACGCATACAGCCGCCTTGAGCGCCAGCCGACGGCCGATCTGATTGTTGGATCCGCTGATGTGTTGGGCGAAATCATTAGCGCGCGCCCTGCCATGTGCGATCTCCATCAGGGAGAGCTGGTTATCGCCAATGGCATACTCGGGATTAGAGTCGCTACTCAGCACCATGCGGAGCTCCGTCAGAACGCCTGTCGCAACCAGCTCCTCCTCACGCTGGCGCCGGGTGGCGCTGTCGGGGATGATGGTACGGGTTTGAGAGGCCATCGCTGTAGACCGAGATTAGTATGTGTAGCAGTGGACTGGAAGTAGGCAACCGCGTAGAGGTGGGTGTGTCTGTGTGTGCTTACCTTCCAGGTGTGTGGGTGAAGTTGAGGATGTGGGTAGGCTGCCAGGTGCGGCTGGATTTTTGGGGAGAGGTCGGATTCTCGGAGGAGAAGGTTGAAATCTCGGGAAGAGGCCCAAAGGCAGGAGCCGAAAAGGTAGTAACTGCTACTGTTGCGGGTATGTGCCTTGGTCGAGAGTCTTTCGGAGTTGCCTGCGATGGTGGGCTTGTAGGCTGCAGCGTTTGTGATGTGATGTGATGCTGTTGATGTCCAGAAGAGGTTTGAAAAGGGTAGCAGATGAGCCTCGGCCGCCTTAAATACCTTACCTAGCGCGGCGGGTGGTGAGTGTCAAATGAGGAAGTTGCGATGCAGCGTGAGTGCAGGCAGGCTGCACCGGTGATGTGGGTGGAGGGTTCCACTCAATAGGTTCCAAGAAGGAGGGACGGGCCTGGAGTAGATGCCTGAAGCCAGCGGCAACAAAAGAGATGGCGAGAGAAGGCAAGCAAGCTACCGGTACAAAGACAGGTAACACCTACTCAAAAAGGGAGAAGGCAACAGTTTCCAGATCCGGGACGAGGCGCAAGCGGCAGGTGCATGCTACTGGGCGTAGCGACCTCAGGAGGAAAGAAGGGATTAACCCATTCCTCAAATGATCGTGCTGACAAAAGCGGCAGTTACCAAGCCGTCAAGGACGTAGCTTCTAAACCTGAGAAAGTGATGAACTTCTCTTTTCTTTTCCTCCCCTCCCAAGAGGTATCTCTCCTACCTTGATTTCTACGACAGGTGCGGTGCATCCCGCCCCTTCCTCCACCATTATCATGTCAATAGGTGCGTGACACAGGTTGAAGGCTCTTCAGAGGCGGGCTGCAGTAAGGGTCAAGAGAACGGATTACCGGAATCTGCGCCACCCCCTAACTCCTCCCAAGATCCGTGTAACCTACAACCTATATATAACCTCGTAGGCCCTTTTCTACCATCATCATCTACGACAGGATCTCGCCGCATTTCCCACCCCCAATGAATACACAACGGGCAAAGAAGAGGAAAAGCAACACCAGCGATGTCTAGGATCTGGTCAACCCATCACGAAGTTAACAATAGAAGCTACGGGATGATGTAAGTCGACAGGAAGAAGAGGAAGAAGAGGAAGAAGAGGAAGAAGAGGAAGAAGAGGAAGAAGAGGAAGAAGAGGAAGAAGAGGAAGAAGAGGAAGAAGAGGAAGAAGAGGAAGAAGAGGAAGAAGAGGAAGAAGAGGAAGAAGAGGAAGAAGAGGAAGAAGAGGAAGAAGAGGAAGAAGAGGAAGAAGAGGAAGAAGAGGAAGAAGAGGAAGAAGAGGAAGAAGAAGGCTGAGGTGAGCACAACGAGGAGGAACACTTAATGTCGCGAGGCTTACCGACCACCTTAAATCCAAGGAGCTTGAGCAAGTTCAAGATCGGACCTCTGGCTTCTGAGGTTTACCGCCTGTATTAAATCCGGGACTTTAAGCAAAAAGGCGTCTCGCCAGCGCTCCAACTCTTCATCCGCGCCGACTGATATTATGTTCCATTATCACCCCGATCCACCGTGCGAGTTTCCCATAAAACCTCTCTGTGATTCCGTCAAGACCGCCCAGCACTTGTGTGATATGTGTAGACAAGTATTCCATGGGTGTATGCGGACGTCGGTTAGCTATTAGACCTCTATGAGGGCTCGGACGATTACGAGCGTCTCTCATCCTAGCACAGAGAGTTGCTTCTTTCTTCATCACCTAGGTGGTGGCTAAACCACATGATAACTATCGTGTACTTGAAATTCTTGTCGTCGTTGATCCGGGTTCCAATTTAGGTTCGTCTCCAGCTACTAACTGCCTTTTGTTGTGCGAGACGTCATCGTCACAGGCGACTCACGAACACCACCATCATATTCATGCCTGGCCTGTTTGTCTCTTGCCTGCGCTGGCGCGCAGCTTCTGCGTTGACTCCACTGCTGTTAAATGCCTTACTCACATTCAAACGAGGGCTTAGCCGAGGACTTGCCCCAATCACCACACCGCTCCTGCCACCACAAGCCCCCCCATGCTAGATACGGCATTGTCACAAGCTATCTACTACTGCTATACTCACCCCAGCCCATGGGTTGTTCCTGCCTCCTGGTACGTAAGGTACCTTCCGCACGCGGGCTAGCCTCTGTCGAGACCTCTCAGCTGTGTCATTAGGTGAAGGCCTCACTCCTAACCAGACTCGGGCCAGAGAGTTGGGTTCCCCCAAACACCACCACCAGGTACCTTACTACTACAAACAACAACCCCATCCACAATCAATCACATCCACAATCACGACCAGAAGCCGCCGCCACCGCCACAGCAGGCCTTGGCCAACAGCTTCCGCCTTACCTTCCTTCCCTCACGCTCAAGACACCAGGCCAGGGGTGCAGTACAAGAGACGAATATCTCCTCCACCCTCGGTCCTATCCCACAAGCTCAGGTTTCCTTCCTAGACCACCACTAGCAACAACCTTAAGCTTCTTCTCACACATCACCTATCAACACCGAAGCCTCAGCTAGCCGCACTTCACATCAATCCTCCCTAAGGTAGGGAGCACGCTACCCCATGAATACCCATCGCTCCTTCCGACCAACCTTACCTACACAATGCTAACAGGTGCTCAGGGGAACCCGCAGAGAAGAAAAAGAGAAACGGAAGGGAAAGGGAAAAAAGGAAAGGAAAAAAGAAAAAAAAAAAAACACCGCAATGATGACTTCCCCGCAGCGCACGGTCAATGATACCTTGGCTTTCATCTCCAGGAACCTCGTCTCCCGCCATGCTGTCGAGTCGATGACCAAGGACACCCTCGAGAGCAGGCCGACGGACGCCGAACTCCGCCGCCTATGCCAGGACACCATCCTCACGATGAAGGAGTTCACATCGGGCCACCAAGTTGTCTCCTGCGCCGTGCCAGGGGCTGTTCGGGCTCTAGCATTGGCCTTCGACAAGCTTCAGCAAGCAGACACGAGCAGGCTTTCGGTTATCATGAATGGGGGTATCAAGATCGGTCGGGAGTGGGATGAGGACGCATTCCAGGAGAATGGTCGGATGAGATTCTTCAAGGATATCATACATGAGGAGGTCCCCGGAACGCTTCTCTGGGAGGTTGAGGTCATCTCTGTCCCCGACGGCTCCGGCGGCTGCCGCAAGGAGCTGAAGCACGACACCACCCACGTCTGGGTCCCCTTTAAGCCTGGCGCTGGCGAGGAGGGGTCTCACCTGGGCGACTTCTATGCCGCGTTGTTCCAGGAGTACCTGAGCGTCGCGAACAAGGTGCCTGGCAAGACCTCGGCCAAGTACTTCGAACGCACCCCGTCCACCAACGAGCTAACCGTCTGGGACACCACTGGCAACCACGTCAGCAGCTTCGCCATGGCAATGATGCACGTCCTGGCCGTCCGCATTGCCAGGGTCAACCCTTCCGACGACGAGAGAACCAGCCTCCGGAAGATGCTGCAGGACGAGATCGTGGCGCGCTACTGGATTGCGGAGTGCAGGGCTGAGGACAAAAGCGACCAGAAGTCCACGTTCTTCTCGATGGGACTGCTGTTCTGGGCCATCACCCACCCTACGGAGCTGGAGGCCAAGATCAAGGGATAGTCGGGATTGACGCCAGGGAGTCTAGCTGCGAGGATGAGCAGGGACGTGTCGGGTGGCTTTGCGACGCATGAGGATCAAAAATCATCAGGCTGCCCGCTTCTGGCAGAGTGAGGGAGTTGAGTTGGTAACCTACTTAGGTATTACGTGTCGTAAGGGGGGGTGGATGGAGGTGGAGGAGCCGTAGGCATGGAACCCAAGGTACCTACCTAGCCAGCCTACCTATTGATGAACATGGAGGGCCAGTAAGCAGGTCTCCATTTCTAGAAGAACACAGTCGGTTAGTACTTGGTCGCCTTTCCACCGCTTCCGCTAGGTGATGACGGCTTTGGTCTCGGGGCAATGTTCAACCCCAGCCAACCCATGATATCCACTTCCCCTTCTCCCGCCGGTCAATCGGAGACCGCGCTTAATTGTACGCGCCAGTCTGATCTGCACGGTGGCTTATTAGAGGACTTATAGAACGGCCAGAGACCGCACCTGGTGACCCCACCTATCATATCATGCCCATCACACCACAAACACTGCTTCCGCCGCTGCTATCTGTTCCCTTTTAATTCCTACGATTGTACCTTACCAATGACAATGAAAGGGATAAGCAGCTTGAAGGCTAGTGTGGTTGGAAAAGTGTGTTAGTGGGGGTTCGCATGCCATCAGTACACATGACCAAGACCTTCCATCCAAAGGCAAACCACACTGGTTTTGCTCCTCTCTCAGCAGGTAAGGTACCTAGGCAAGCATACATACCCACGTCAGCATCTTCCCCGAACGTCCTTACTCATCATCACATCTCTATGCGTACGTCCATTCCATTCCATGATATTTTGTCTAATATTCAAAACTACCGCTTAGAGGGAACCCTACTCCAAAACACTGCCTACCGTCTCCCCAGCACCCAGGCGTCAGTTTCCACCTAAGGAGCACGGCTGCTGATACCTCCGTTTTGTTCAGGACGTAAGCCTTCGACCACAGCAAGAACAAGCGCAGATGATGTGCCGCATTATCACCTCCTCCATCTCCGAATTTGATACAGTATTTGTCGTGCTCAATCCTGCCGCTCCGCCCTGGTACCCCAACTACGTTAGTTGACGAGAGGGCGGTTTGAGGCGGGCCCTGAGCACGCACTCCAGTACATCTGCTGTATGGTTTGGATAGGGAACTCAGTACGACGGTCTATACTTCGATGTCCTGCCCCTCCCGAGGACCGTGACCGCAGCATATGCCCCTTAGGGCCCGTTAGGGTCGTGTACCCACCACAGATTCCTCACGGGCTCTGGCGATACGGTCGAATGGAGGCCTCGGACGAAGAACCTCAGGTTCCTATTCCATCCCACGTCAACGTTGAACCTGCCGCGCAAGTCGGCTTGACCCAAGTTGTCCTAGGCTTTTTCCGAGTAGAGGAATGAAGTACGCCGAGACATGCCCTTCGCCCCGCTGGACCTGCTCGGCTGGTGGGGCCAGGGTATTGAAGCGACCGCGGCCGAGGGGAGAGGGCTGTGCAAACGCTTCGCGACATCGAGGGCGGCCAACTGATCGTCATCCTTGACGGAGACGTCAGCGTCCGCGTCAAGAAGCTGTTGGATGATGCTCTTGTCCCCACGTCCAAACAGGGTGCCATCGCCACCCAATCGGGCGCAAAGATGGGCGGTTGTTGACCCGTCTGGTCACTTGGCAGTCACATCGATGTCATCCGATTTGATGAGGGCTTTCATGAGCTGGGGTAATGCATCGAAGTCGTCCTAGAGGGCGTCGTATCAAGCCTGTGTGGTTGTGCGACCTGACTAGAGGTCCACGGCGGCCCCCAGTGCCACGAGAAGGAATGTTTCAGTTGGGCGTCAGGGCACAGGGGCTTGGACGTTGACACCGAGTTGCTGCGCGAGCCAGTTCGCGTATCGAAACCGCTTGGTACGACAAGCCCTGGGTAGAGTCTGCTGCCCCCACGACGTTTGGTCCGTGATGGATGTAATTCTCTGCTGAAGGATGCGTTTAGCGATTTTGATGGTCCTGGACCTGGGTATGTAAACACAGCAGAGATCGTGAAGCAGTGAGACTGAACGCTCGTTTCCAGGATGTGAGGCTCTCCAAGCACAAGCACCAATGATACAAGTCTTACTCATCGGGGCTGAGGTGAGTCGCCATCGGAAACAATGCCTGAAGCTCAGGCTTTGATGAGTCTTTCGGCAATCTTGGACTGTCCATAATAGATGGCAGTATGAATTGGTGTCTTGGCTGCGTTCGGGGCGTCAAAGTCGGGATTGAAGTGGGGTGGGTGGCCAGGGTCGTCCAGGTCATCGCAAGACCAGCATGGCCCGGGGCTCCTGAGGGCTACGTCCGCGCCCTCTTCAGCAGTCTCTTGACGAACCGCTTGTTCCCAAACAACGATTGCTACTTGAAGGGCAGTGTAGTCATCAATCCAGGGTATGATATCCTGCAATCCCGCAAGCATCACGGGCGGGGGCGGGTCACCCTCTTCCCGGAGTTGACCCCAGTAAGGTGGCAAGGTGACATCTAACTTATCGGGGTGGTTCCTCTTAGTATAATCCACTGCGAGTTCGAGAAGTGTAGTGTCCCCGGTGATGATGGCTGCGAAAAGTGCCCGTCCATCGATTTCGCCCTCAATTTCACCCTCGATGAGGGTGCGAATTGGTGTGTCTAAGTGGTAAACGAACCCAATCAGTGAGAGGGTTTAATTACGACGATAAGCATAAGTGTGCGTACGCTGAGCGTGTAAAGAAAGATAGTACAGCTTAACGGCCCTTAGTTAGGCTGATATATCGATGGGATATATTTCTACACCTGTCGTGTGCGTATTCAACACCCGTGTGTGCGTAACATTTGGGCGAACTCTATAAGTGGTTTCAGATTTACCGAAGACAATCCTCCCAGGTCGCCTTCCGGGGTACATACAGCAAGTGCATCAATACCATCGCGGGCCTCGGCCGGTATTGAAGGGAGTTGAGGCTATTCCCGCCGTCCCCGCGCCCTTATTCGTGACCTGATTAACCCACAACCATCACAGCCATCACAGCCATCACCAGGCGAGACTCCAAGTGAGCAGCAGATAGACTACTAGCTCACCATGGAGGCAACCACCTCTCGAGCCCTTCCTGCCTCCCGATACTCGCGTCTCTATAGCCATCATACCTAGAATCTACCCAGACAGACATGCTTAATACATAGGAGTAGCTGGTCAGGTTAGGGGGGCGGGTGACGCTCTCTAGAGCTTCGCAGGGCTGTTGACGCCGAGAAGCTGCCTAGCCTTTTTAACCAGGGGCGACTTTAAGCGAACGAGATGCTTAATCACCAGCTGCCGCAGAGCGTACGACGAGGGTCTGTTTGAACGTTGAGCAGGGCCCTCGGGTCCTTGTCGATGAGCCAGCTGATGTCTTTCATGTCCTTATCGTCCGTCTTTTCGATGTTTCCGCTGCTAAGGCATTGACCTTCGACAGAAGATCTTGCCGAGCCGCATGACGTGAACGTTGATCGGCCTCTTTCTCCTCGTTTTCCACTTTGAAGTCCCTTCGATTAGACCTGCAAGCTTTGGGTGTCGTCAGGTGCCTAGGCCGGCCGTTAGTGTCCGCAGACCAGCCGGAGGCTCCGGAGTGAGGGGCTTTACTCACCGGCGATCACTAAATCAATCTCGATGTATCTGGGCTCCCTGCACTTCCTCGGTCGCGATAAACCCGCAGGTGAGACTCGCTCGGCCATCCAGGCCAGGAACTATGTACTTTTGTCTTTGCTTAGTGCAGCCCGTAGCTTAGGCATAGTGGTCTGTACAACCATGTCGATGTCGGTAGTGTGTCGATCTGATTGTCCGTGGATTTTCAGAGCGAGACCACCAGCAACAGCCCAGGGAATCTTATTCCGGTCAAGGAGCTTGCCGAGCGGGTCAAGGGTGTCTAGAAGACTAAAAAAGCTAACGTCAACCTCAGA